AGCGGACCTACCCGATCTGGCAGGGCATCATCAGATGGTTTTTGAGTGTCGTCGATCCCTTCCCCATAGGGCTTGACAGGATCTAGAACTTGATGGTGAGGGGGGGGGGCTAAATGTGGGATCCCGTGCCGTTTAGGGGTCCAATATTGAAAATGACTTTGTTGCTGTTTTTTCAATATTCATAGCTTGTGATTCTTGCAGCAGGTTTAGGTAGGTAGGTAGGTATAAGGTCACTGAGGGGTTGAGGGGTTGAGGAGGAAGGGACATGAGGGAATTGCTACCCACCTACTGTTGAGAGGGATTAGGTGTAAGGGTAGGATTATGTGCCACTTGTACGCTATGTCAAGAACTCGGGGAGGGGGGGGGGGTTGAGTGTCCAAGGTTTGGGATTCGGAGTTTTGGGTGAAGGTCCGGCTTGGGTGAGCTCAGTCTGTAGGGTTGTGGATAGGATATTATGGCACGGATGGAACGGCAACGCTGGAGATACGCCGCCGGGGACTTGAGAGCTGCTTTGTTGGTCTGTGGGTGTGGCGTGGTGGTTTTATTGATTTTTTTTTTTCACCTGTCAAAGAACTGATGTGACATGGCAGTCTTTGTTGTGGCTTTGGCACAGACTTCTGTTTACTATAATACGAAACTGTTTCAGGTGAGCGGTGGAGTTGGTAGTTGACGATAAAGGGAAAGTTAATCTGAAACAATTGTTTTTTTTGTTTCTTTCTACTAGTGTTTAATGAGTATGGATCGTTTTCGACTCTTGTAGTTGAGGCTGTGATATGTTTCAGTTGAACGATTGCTGTTGGGGAAACGGAACTGAAGATTCAAGAGCCCAGATGGAGTCGAGATAAGCTCTGAAACAATGTTTCTCAGTAGGTAAATCATGTTTTTCTTCCGCGATCAAAATCAGCCCCACGCTGGAAGCTCTTTCTCGAGTGAAAGCGAAGGGTTGGTTGCTCCTCGGTTTCGGCTGTCTAGTATACTCCATAACATACACGTGGTGCAGCATAAACGGTTCTCTGTATTTTATGAACGGCGTTGAAAGTGAGGCACTAGGGAACGGCGGGCTCACGGATCGTTCGGCGAGTTTCGTTCCTAGCTTTGCTGCCCAAGCTAGTGTGAGAGCTGAACCCTTGCTCGCCTGAAAAGCTGAGAAATCGCGGCCAGAATGGGGTTGCTGGAAATGGATGGGCGACAAGGGGGGTGTGTGTGGTTAGCTCGCATGCATGGGTAGGGCACCTTGTTGACTTTCTGGTGATGGAGGGCGTTGAGAGGCGTTGTGCTACCCCGCAGCCACATCGGAGGTTTGGACAAGCCAGCCGCTGTTCCATCGCGATCGGTCTTTGTGGAGGAGGGTTGATGGCTGAAATATGTTTATTACGGAGGAGCCCGGTGACTTTTTGAGTTGGTGGACAACCCCATGTTACCGGGTTCTGACCGCCATATTGATTAAAGCTGAAAGGAAAGATCGTGTTGATGACTCTTCCCCTCTTCTGATGGGACTGGTCGCACAAATAGTCTTCGAAAATATAAACGAAGAGCGGAAATTGGCGGCTGCATCTGCGCCTGCCTGCCAGGTCGTAGTGCAGCACTTTAATATCACCAACACCACGCCAACTTCTAGGTGCAGTTCCAGCTGAGGACTTTGTATGCGAACTTGCATCTGGCTCGTCACAATATGCGCGTCTCGTGGGCAAACATCTGTCGATGTGAGGGTTTATTGATCTCTGTCAGCTGATGGGAGGTGGCCGTCAAGAGGCCAAGGGAAGGCTGAGTAGAGCGTGAAGAAAGAGAACAGAGCTCAGATGGCGGTTCAGTGGGGTTGATCACCTCCAGGGGCCTTAATCGTGGAGACCCGGCATTTTGGGTCAGTCTCTGTCGTGGTTGTTTCTTCCCCGGATGCTCAGAAACGAAAAGCGAATGAAGAGGCCCAAATGTTCATTGCGTGCTAGAATTCTCCTGTGAGATGCCGTCGCCTGACATCAGTCAAACCGATCGAAGCTGTGAAATGGATGCAGAGCAAAAGGGGTCGATGCGCTCAGGGTCCAAGCTGGCAAGGGTTGGTGGTCTGGCCCAAGTGGGTGTGGAGAACGGGAACTGCAGGGACGCCAGCCAACGACAGGGTTCCCAACGACGACGACCTTTCTCTTTTTGGTTGATGGTTCGCCTGATTTTGTTGTCTTTTCATCTCCACACGCGCCCTGTGCAACAACTGCAACCTCTGCGAACGACTGCTACCTACCTGCCCAGAGAGTCACACTGGCCCTTCTCGAGCCGACTGTCCATCCCGCGGTGGAGTGTCCGAACCCGAGCAGCCTTCACTCGCTCTTCTCTTTTCGTGGTTTATTTTGGGTGATGAGAGATGAAGGACTGCTTTTCCGCTGGCAATGTGCCTCCGCCAGGAACAGGAAAGATGTCTCAAAAACATGTGCTGTGGCGGCTCTCTCCCCGGACACTTCTCGAAGCCCTGCCGCTTTTCTCCCACGCCGCTCGTCTACCAGTACCTGATCTGGGGGACTTGGGGCTTGTCAATGTTGCCAAAAACAGACCATTGTAGAGGCCCGGTAATCGGATATTGGTACTTTGGAGCCGAGCTTTCTGGGCCTCTTCTGCCTTGACCCTGATGTTGAAGCGCTACCACGGTGATGGCTTGGCCCACCTCCCATGTGCTGGGGTTCGACGATGGATCCAATAGTGTGCGGATGCTTCCCATGCCATGTTGGCGATGGGATGGGGGAGCGAGTTATTTACATAAGGCCGGCTTCCCCGGCTCGACGATGTTCTCTTTTTTTCTTGCTCTTCAGGGTCTTCCTCAGCCGCGAACACGACAGTAATACCTAATCTTCTAATCTACGACAAGGCCTCTTTACTTGTCGATACATTCGTTCCTTTCGGCTTTGCTGAAAATGGCCAGTCTCAAGGCCTTGGCTGCCCTCGCGGCGGCCACCTTGGTTGGTCGTGTTACCGCCACTGAGGTCTTCCTCCCACCATGCCTGGACCCCTTCCAGCCTTTTGTCTACTCGGGTTGCTTCTCCGAGGCCAGCGGCACCCAGATCCTCCCCTACCGCAGCCCAAAAACCCCTGATGACATGACCGTCGAGAAGTGCGTTGCCGAGTGCAAGGGCAATGGCTACAGATATGCCGGTCTCGTCTACTACGGCGTCTGCTACTGCGGTCAAACCGTGAGGGGTGATCTCACCGAGGAGTCTGAGTGTAGCTTCCCCTGCAAGGGTGACGACACCCAGATCTGCGGTGCCAATGGCAAATTCTCCATCTACCAGGATCCTACCTTCATCCCCGTCGACCAGACCACTATTGCCGACTATGACCCCCTTGGATGCTGGACCGACAACTCTCCCCAGGGCAGAGCTCTTTCCTACCGTCAGGATTCCGTCGATGGCGCTACCATGACCACTGAGAAGTGCCTGCAAGCTTGCTATGCCGGCGGTTTCCCCTTTGCTGGTACTGAGTATGGCGGTATGTATTGATCTGGATTTCTGTCTGTCAGCAAAACTGATGAAACTAACATGATCACAGGTGAATGCTACTGCGGTGTTGTCATTGGCAACGACACCTACTCTGCTCCTGCTTCTGAGTGCAACATGGCCTGCAACGGTGCCTCTGACGAGAAGTGCGGTGGCCCTGGTCACTTGAACCTGTATGCTGCCGATGAGCTCCTGTCTCTTCAGCCTTGCGGCTATGAGCCCCCTGTCTCTTCCAGCACAACTGTCGTTACGTCGACCACCAGCACCACCACCCCTCCCCCCACTCTCCCTCCTACCACCACCTCCACCACTGTTGTGAGCACCACCTCCACCAGCAGCTCCGTCTGCGTCAGCACTACCGTCATCCCACCCAAGTGCGAGTACAAGTGCGGCAAGTGGTGCAGCAACCCGATTCCCGACTGGGATAACGACGTCAAGTCCTGCAAGGCCGCCTGGTCCAGCTGCTTGCTCCAAATCGCCTCTTGCTTCAAAAACGCCGGCTTCCCCCAGTCCCTCGAGTGCCTCAACTTTGGCCAGTGGTGCGCCGACGTCGATGACTACTGCGTCAAGACCCCCAAGGGCAAGAAGCATGATTTCTTCGGCAAGAAGCCCCCCAAGGGCGGCAACCCTGCCACCACCATCACCGTGACCACCGCTTGCCCTACCGTCGCCCCCACCTCGACCAAGCCCGCGACGACCACCACCAAGCCTGCCACTACCACCACCACCATCTGCCCTACCCCCAATCCCACCAACATCTGCAAGCAGCCCACCAACAACCAACACGGCTACAAGCCCGGCAAGCCGGTCGGTGGCATCGAGCTCCCCGTCGTGACCTGCAACGATCTCGTCTCCGACTGGCCTTCGTACCCCTTCAAGAGGTACTCGGACCCCGACACCCGCAAGTGCAAGAAGTACAGCCGCAGCACACCCAACACGGCCTGCCAGGAAGCCTGCAAGGAGCAGTACGAGGACTGTTTGGACGTCTACGCCGAGGGCTGCAGGGGCAACGGCAAGAAGTACAAGCCGAGAGAGGACAGCTACTTTGGGCAGATGGAGAAGAGGACGTTCTGGGGCGGGTGGAACGATAGCTTCAACGGGGCGAAGGATAAATGCAAGGCGCAGTATAACGACTGCTTGGCTGTGAATAAGAATGTGGATGTGAAGGGCAAGTGTGGAAAGTTCTGCGAGTAAATGGGATATGAATGATAGGTGGAAAAGGAAGGAATATGTGAATGATGGGACAAAATAGCATTCTTGACGCTCCTTGAACGTATATGAAAGAAGTTTAAATGTAATTATTAATGAGATTTTACTTTTCGTACCATGTTTCAGGCCTGCGTGACTTGTAGGAAGAGTCAAATCTACAAGATTAAATGACAAAAATTGCCGAAAGCAATGAAAGAAAGGGTGATGAGAAATGGTGGTGTGGAGGTGTGGTTGAGGTGCCAAAATTGGGCAGTGACGTCAGCGATATGAGGGGTAGTTTCGCCATCAAACACCATCAATCAATACCTCACCGGGTGACTAGTCTAGTGGTCAGGACGCTTCGTTGTGGTTGTTCGCAAGGACATCACATACGATCCGAAGAAACCCCGGTTCGATTCCGGGGTCGCCCATATCTTTTGCCTTCACTTTTTTTCTTCAGTCACTCCACACTCTCAAGCAATCTTTCGTTTACACTCTAATCCCTGAAAGTTCGTGTAAGTGGGGCGGTCTTTCGAAAATTTTATACTTTAGGTACCTTAACAACCACCAATTTTTACGCGGAAAAAAGGGGTTTATAAGATTTAAGATCTTTAATCTATCTATATCCTTTATTTTTACGTTTTATTATAGCTATATTATAGCAAAAACTATAGCCGTTTAAAAGTACTAGTCCGAACGCCCGCATTAACAAACTTTCAAGCATTGGACTGTAAGCTAGTTCATACTCTCTTGAGCAAGGCACCTCCTCTCTCTGAGGCCGTATAAGCAAGGACAACACCGGTCGTATCCTTGCCATCCTTCCTGTACCGGAGAGGAAGAAGGTCGTACATATCGCAGTGTTTGCGAGTGTCGGAGGGAACTGGTGGGACTTGCTCTCGACCAAAAGCCTTCGTTTTACTTTTTGTTACTTTCCAGAGTATGTCTGTCTAGATTATGGACTGAGTACTTTCGTCTGTAGTCGTCTTCGCTTTACTTTTTGTTTTCTAAATCTTGTCCTTTGCATTCTCTCTCTTGTTCTTGTTACCTATCAACCGTATCTCTTTTTGTGATCATCTCGCAGGTTCTACCCACCTCAAGTAAACACCTCGTTCATACTTCACCACACTGCCACTGCTAAGGACAGACATCCTCTATGCTTGATCTTCCGCCAAACTTTGCATGTTTGCTTGGCTGCTAGTTTGCCATCCCTCCATGACGCAAGACGCAACAACCAAGCTTGCCCATCAGTCACTCAGTTTGAGGGGGGTTTCATGGGTTATATACAACCTCCATCCCACAATTCTCCAGCGAAGTAGCGGAATCAATCTTTACCGAATTAAGAAGAACCCCCCATCCAGTCTAGTAGATACCTTGGGTCGTCTCTAGGATTCCATTCTAGGTGGAGGAGGGACGCCGGGCATTCGATGAGTCGTAGACATTCCGAATGGATCCGAAAAGCTGGGTGGGTGGCTTCGCTTTTTTTTTTCTCTCTCCTTCATCTTTCTTAGTGAGTGCTTGACTCTTTTTGCTTGCGGAGCTGTGCAGTTTGGGCTATGTTGGTATGTCACAGGACGCAACTATAAAAAGACACTGTGCATCCCATCTGTGTATGTTGCAAGGCAAAAAGAAGGGCTTCGACTATACATGGGGTGGGGAACCAGGGCAAAAGAATTGGAATATTGCCATGTTCAGCTTCGAATTGACATGGAGTTGAGAGATGCATCAGCCGTGAATCGAACACGGGGCCCATCGATGGCAACGATGGATTTTACCACTAAACCACTGATGCTTGTGATTGGATGCGAGGTGGTTTGGAATGTGGGCTCAACAACATCGTGATTCAGGCTGAGATCGATGGCAAAGTTATTGTGTTGCTCATAAGAGCCAGCCCGTGCCGTATTTTAATGGTATTTTGGACCCAGTGTCAGCTTTCTAACATCACAGTTGGCAAGTGGGTCGATAGCAATATGACGCAGCAGCACCAAGGCCCAAAATGATCTTGAAATGGTACATCTGGGCTAGGAGCCTCTCTGCGTCTCCCTAAAAAGTGAGACGAGCACACAAACCGCTTGGTCTTCAGCAGTGCTCCCCATCCGCTCTGCAACTGGTTCATTCATGCCTTGAAAGCACACAGGACAGGCTCAACTCACTCTCACATTGCCAAATAGCTCATAACCCAACAAATAAATCTTTTTTTCAATATTCCACAAGTGATATACACAGGCAAGACTCCCATATCCCACAGCCTCCCCTCTTGCCAACACCCTCCTACTCCCATCCTCACCCCTATTTCTTCTTCCCCCCCTTCCCACCCTTCCCACCCGCCGTAGTGGCCCCCGTCTTCCCCTTCGCACCCTTCGTTTGGAACACCCTCCTGCTCTTCCGCCAGGCACTGACATACTCCGCCACGCTCCCCATATCGTGCTTCGGCTTCCTCATGTACGTCAACCTCGCCCTCCTCGCCCTCTTCAACCTCCTCTTGACAATCTCGATACCCGCCACATTCCTGTTGTAGATCTTGAACCACATCTCCACTCCAACTTTACCGATGTGATTTCTCAGCAGCACAGCAGTATCGATGCCGGCTCTCCGGATGGAGAGACAGACACCAGCGAAGGGCTCGCCGCCGCGACGGTGCGTGACGAGGAGGATGTCGCCTACTTTGGCGGCCTCGCGGGTGCGGGCAAAGAGGGCGGTGCGGGCGCCGGTGGGGTCGAGCTTTTTGATTTGGAAGTCGTGGAGGGCGGCGACGGGGTTGGTGGTTGTCGGGGGGATGAGGGGGAGGCCGGCGGAGGTGGGGGGGTAGATGGCGAAGGCGGAGCGGGTGGTTTTGGTCTTTTTGTCGACTACTCGGTCTGTGACAGGTGTTAAATATGGTTTCAAAGGGTGGCGGGGGGGAAATGTTAGGCAACATACAAAAGTTCCGGTCTGGGCTTCGTGATGGTGGTTTTGATGTAGCTTGGACCTCTGTCGCCATGGACCTCGAAAAGATCTTTTGCTGTCTCGCCTGGCGAACGGCCGACTTGAGACAGACCAGAGGCCGCCGAGCCAGAGGGGCGACGTTCATCTTGGGCGAGTGTGTGTAGTGTCCTGCTATCCAACAGGCGACAGGAGCAGTGCGTCGACACACAACCTCGCGGCTGTCTGGGGAAGAGACGTTGAAGATGGTTGAACCTGAGCCTGAATTGTGGACTGTGATTGGCTGAAATTGGCTTGCTGTGGTGGGGGAACAGGGGACCGGTTGCGGGCTCCACAAAATTTTCTGACCCGCCAACCAGCAGGTGGGATTGCACGACAGTGCCGGCTTTCAGGTGGTGGTGTTCGTCTTAAGTTGAGGAAAAGAGAGTTCTTAACTTTTTTGTACCGCTCGATTACATACTGCTGAAGCGAGGGGAGAGCAGGCCCAGTGCAGCAGCGCCATGTTCACAACGTCGAGCGCCGGTGCCCTCAGGGCCGGAGCGAGGAGATTGGAGACGACCGTGTGCCACAATGCCAGCCTTCAGAGGAGGTTATTCTCAGTAACGTCGCAAAGAGGCATGTTAACCACATGTCGATATGGAAGCTCTTTGCTGGGGAGTTTCAGCTAACACTCTCTCCCAACAGCCGCCGGCTTCATCGTCTTCAAGAAGGGCTCCAACCCCGAGCTCCAAGAGCGCCTAGACACCCTCTACAACAAGATCGTCCTCCCCTCCTACCTGAGCGAAGAGCAGCAACGAAAGCTCACAAAGACAAAATACAAAGAACAGCTCCGAAACGACCCCATCACTATGGAAATCGACGGTGAAATCCACAAGTTCCGCTACGTAGATCCCATGAAGGACATGCCAAGCGCATCCAAGCTGGTGAAGGAGGCAGTCGACCACATGGACCACGCCGACTACCAAAACCTCCACCTCATCCTCAAAGGCTTCAAGCGTGCCAATCGAAAACTCACCGATCAGCTCGCCATCCGAATCATCCGAAGAGCCCACCAGAGCGACCGTCTCGACGCCATCCTCGACTGCGCCAGGCAGGTCGAGCTGACAGGCTTCAAGCTTGACACACCGGAAAGGCTGTCTCAATTGCTCACTTCGATCCAGACACGGGCGGTTGAGTCGGCGTTCAAGGCTGACCCGACGAGGAAGGCGCTCAAGCAGACGGAGAAGGTGATTGATTTGCTGGAGTTTGAAGGGGAGGGGCACCGGCCTAGCAAGAGGTCCGAGACTGCACGGCCATTCTACCACGAGCCGATGTTCCTTGGCCTTAGACTCAACCTTGCCGCCAGTCTTGCGGTAAAAACCCGTGACAGCCAGGATGTTGATGGAAAGGTGACTCAATACGCCGAGCAGCTGGTTCACTTCTGGCCCGAGAACACCGGCATCCTCGAACTCCAGCCTGACACTGCGTACGAGGATCCCCAAAACGTACAGTACCTCCTCGACCGCAACAACTTCCTCTTCCATGTCTCGCCTGTGCTTCACGGTCTACAAATGGCCGCCAAGGTCGTCGACCCAGGTCTTTCGATGAAGCTCCAGCACAGAGCAGATGCGCTGGAGAACGAGATCAGACAGGCGTATGAACACGACGAGCGGATGCCAGGGCTAGCGGATGTGATGTACACATGGCTCTTCAACTCTGAGGAGCTGTTGGCCAAGAGGAAGGAGGAGCTTTCTAAGCGGAGGAAAGCACTTGCTGAGAAGCAGAGGGAGGAGATGCAGAAGCGGAAAGAGGAAGCCATCCCATGAGAGGGCCCCTTTCCTAGTTGAGAGGGGGAGTAAATATGACCACATATTTTGACCAATGATGTGTACAGTACATATGTAAGAGTATTTACTTGTAACAATATTTTCTCTTTTTTTGGTTTATCTGGTATCAAGGTGGTTATGGGAGGACGATATACTTCTTGAGGTTCTCTGGGATAGCACCGAGCAGGTTCTTGCTCTCGAGCCACTTTTTTGAGAACAATCTATCGGCATACCGGTAGGCACCGTCACAAAGGACGGTCACAACAGTGTGTCCCTTGCCCAACTTCTCAGCGACCTCCTTGGCAGCAACAACGTTCAAGGCGGAGCTGGCACCGAGGTAGAGACCCTCCTCGTCGAGACACCTGTACACCATCTCGATACTCTTCTCGTCGCTGATATGCAAGCTGCCATCCAGCAACTCAACATCAGGGGCCAGGTTGTCGGTAACACGGCCCTGACCGATACCCTCAGTGATACTCGAGCCAGATCTCTCGATCAACTTCCCACCCGACTGCATATAGCTGTGCAAGACACTCCCTGGAGGGTCAGCCAAGAAGCTCTTGACCTTGCCATTGCTCTTCTCCTTGAGATAGCGCGTAATACCAGCCAAAGTACCACCGGTGCCAGTCGCGCAGGTGAAAGCGTCCACCTTCCCCTCCGTCTGATACCAAATCTCGGGCCCAGTCGTCTCAATGTGCGCCCTCCTG